TAATGTTCTTTTATATCAGCAGTACTAGCAATAGACAGCACAGAATATTCAGCCAAGGAACGATCAAACGCTCTTAGATAGCGTTCAGACTTTGCGACGGCAGCGCTTCGGTCGCGCGTTCGACGCGATCGATGCGCATGCTTTCGACTGCATCGATCGCGTCGAAGGCCCGAAGCGCTGCCATCGCGAAGTCTGAACGCTGCCTTACGCGACGTACCTCAAGAAGGACTCGAACCAGTTTGTCGTGACCATGCTGAGCGGCCAAATGTAGGGAAGACTCTTGGGCGTTATTCACTGCATCAACACTATCTGGATCTGATTCTGCTAATAGCTGAAAGAGAATCATCTAAAAGTTACTGCACATCGGCTCCAAAGTAACCATTGATTCACCTTTGCAGTTTCAAAATGACCATTCCAGGCGCCCAAATGTAATGGCACACATCCTCGTTTGTCTCGTGCCGATGGTAGTAGCCGATCGGATTCGATGAGGATCCTAGAAAAGTTACTCATACTACTTTGTAGGCTATGAATAGTATTTTCAGTCTCTTCCGATATTTTCTAAAGAAATGATTTCAAGTAGGAGGAAATGTTTCATCACAATACCTGGTTAACTAACATAGAGGAAAATGAAATGCACGATGGCAACATGACTGATGATGTGCTCGTTATATGAAGCACACGGCGGAAAGCGGCTTCCCTGTAAGGCCGCGTTCATAGCTTGCGACCATGAAGAAATGCAGAAATGCAGAAATGAAGAAGTGCGGAATCTGCAGAAATGACGAAAAGCAACCGATACGTATCGATTTTCCGCACTTTCGGCATTTCTGCAGATTCCGCACTTCTTCACTTTCGGCATTTCTTCAGATCGATACGTATGTAATGCTTTTCGTCATTTCTGCACTTTCCGCACGTCTGCAGTTTCGGCATTTCTGCATTTCTTCAAGTCGATACGTATCTATTGCTTTTCTGCAGATTCCGCACTTCTGCACTTCTTTCACGGCGCCAGGCTATGAAAAGCGGTCAGAACAGCGGTTTCTCACCAGTTGATGCGGACTCACGATGACATCATTGGTGGAAAAAGCCTCTTTGACAGCGCTCCATCCCACGCCCCGTCACAGGCCCTATCGCTTGTAGGAATCATGACTATACGGCACAGCAGAGATGGTTTGGAGGAAGTAGACCAGCTCAACCAACATCTACGCAGGCCAGGGTCACTTCTTGGATCGTTTATTGCCAGGGTCAATCAAACTTCAGCCCACCGGTGTCGGCTAGTTGGTGCTTATATGGTCAACTCCTATTTCGAACACACTACCCACGACATGCAGTCGCGGAATTTGTCCTCAAAAGGGCAAAGGAGAGAGAGGAGCAGGAAAGAAAGACCTATTTAGATGACAATTTTTGCTCCTAACATAAAAGGGTTTGCCGCCTCACTCCACTTGAGTGCTTGCGTGCCTAGAAACCCTTAGATTTTGAAAATATTGGAAAAAAGCTGAAAACCAGAATTTAAAAAGGAACTAAACAAGAAGTAATTGTGAAGAATAGAGTTTGCACACTAGTTACCACTGAAGTCAGTCGGGGCGTGTTAGGGGCGCGTCAGTCTTTACGTAGCCTCAGCCTCTTCCCTGCCACTCCTGGAAGGCCGAAACCGCAACGATCGATGAGAAGTGGGCTGGCGCCGTGTCAAACTCATAGGCCGCTCGAACGCCTCGACTGATTTCAGTGATAACGACTCCGGAGTCTTTGACTTCTTCATTCATCTTATTGTTATCAGACTGGAAAGAGATACTTAAGAGTGAGAGTACAAAGCGCTTTTTGGATGTTTGATATGTTATATTTATTTATTTATACAAAATCCTCACTTGCAAATATGATGATGTCCATGAAGAGCGGCGTAGTGAAGTGGCGTATAAAGAGTAGAAGGATCCTTACAGGAAACCAGCCATCCAGCTGACGGGGTAGCCGGCCGAAGAAAACTAAAAAAAACGCTCAGAAAAATGCTATTATGTTACTACAGAGAAATGAAACAAACTACAATTACAATGAAGAGCCCCAGGCACCTTTCACTCGAAAAAGGTACTCGCCTGTATATCTCAAAAAGTTTTGCTTTCCAAAGTAAAACTGAGACTATGAGGAGAAAAAAGAAGGTAAACATGAGCTAAGTGGAAAAAGATTCCATGTCAATGCGGTGTCACTACTACTTTGAGGTATTACAGTACTAAAAAATTTCGCAAACAGATATGGTCACCATAGTTAGAAAAAAACACTGGAACCTTGCCTGACTGCCCTTCCAATGAGCATTGTGGGCAGTTTTGCACCTGTCGGGTGATACAACCTTTGTTACTAGAAGTACGTAGACAAGAAGACTGCAGTGTGTACGATAGCTGGACTGTTGTTTCTACCTCCGCCTACAGCAGTGCATCGGCCAGAGGCACGCAACGAAAGGCCACAGCTACGCAATATGCCACCGCGCTAGCTTCGTGGCACTCTCTGTCAATACGTACCATGTGTCTCCTGTACGGCGTCGACTTCGGCAGCGCATCGAACACAATTGCCGGTAATGCCTCCAGTGTCTCTTCAAAGCCTCACAAACGAATCAGGCCACATTCGTTGATTGGGAAATCCCAATAGGGGCGCGTCGTATTTGATCAGTGCCAGGAGGGTGAGCCGTTATCTGGGCTGAGAAAAATTTATTTTGATAGTTGATTTTTCTTGCTGGACGTCGTAAAGGGAGGGGGGTCGTATTCGATCATTTTTGGGAGGGGGAGTCGTATTTTACGTTTGGTGTTGGTTGGGGGGCGGTTCGACTTTTGATGGATTTTTCCTAGCTTCACTACTATATGCCTCCCCCCCCCCCCCTCCCCGCTCGATCAGCAGAATTTGTTTGGTGGGGGAAGTTCGAAATTGTTGGAAGAAAAGGGGCAGGTAGAGTTGGGGAACATCTGCATCAGAGGGAGGGGGGTGGGTGGGAAGTATTTCTCGCGCCTTTCTGTTTCACATGTGCATTACCCCCCCCCCCCCCCCCCCCCCGCCCCCCGCCTCGACGGCCGATTCGGATGAGGAAGGACAGAGGGCTGGGGGGAGGGGGGTCGTATAAGTCGACTAAAATCCCCAATCAATGATGTGCCCTGTAACGAATGCAAGTATTCACAGCAAGGAACGTAAGGTCCAGGCTTTGGAAATGGCTGATGGAGCACGCCTATGCTTGATTGTTCAAAGGTTCTGTGGTAACAGGGTCTTATTCGGGTTATTAAAAGTTGGAGGATCCTATTCGTATCGCAGATGGGATTCTGCGTTGGGGAGAATAGTGGGGTAATGCAGTGGGCCACCAGAAGTGTTTCCTGCTTCTGGCGTTCTGTCTTACGGCAGTTTGAATCACTGCTTTTTGGTGAATGTCACCTCCCCCCTCATTCTCCCCCTCCCCCAAAGCCTTTCCCAGATCCGGCGGATTTTTTGGAGAATTGTAGAGTTACGATGAGAGTCGTATTTCAACTAGTGAGGAGGGATGGCGTCCGGGTGGGGGAGGGGGGGGGGAAGAAGGGGCTTTCCGCCTCCCTGCGATGGCATGCCCTAATGGATTAGTATTCTACTCGAACATTAAGAAGATCAAATAATTGCGTGTTCAACAACTTTCATTTGAAAAAAATCTGAGTTTTCGTTGTCAACGCATTCCTCCGTGTTCTTGTGCAACCAGTCCAACCGATTTCTAGCCTTTTCCTTGACATCCAATCCATCGATTTCTGGCGAAAACTCAAGAAGGCAAAACTATGCTTCAGTTACTATTATGTTGCGTTCATTACTGAACATTGTTCACTTAAAGAGGACTATTCGTCATCATTAGCAACGATGAAGATTCGATCTCGTGACGTTTCGCTTTGTAAACAACGAACTACGCCACATGACTAAAGGTGTCCAGTCAGCTGGAACCAAAGTCATATCAAATGGCATTCACCCAGTCAAAAAGCAAAACAACACTGCTTAGCATAAAATGAGACTGGAAATAAACTAAATAGTAAACCAAACACTTAATAGTAAGCATCTTAGTATCTGCTGTCTCGAAGATTGGATTCTGTAATAACAGAACGATGCTCTATTTCTGCATGGGAAACCCGAAAGTTCTTTGGGAAACATTTTGAAATAAAGATTTTAGCGGGCGGCTTTATTTCACTAGTAAAACTTTAGATAGGAAAACTTTTACTGCAACATAGAATACCAATTAAGGGGTTAGGAATTAATGAAATACAATTTCATGAACGAATATCTTTCCAAACTGTTGAAAAAGGGTCTTGGAACAAAAGGTGTGAAGAATCAAAGTGGAGCTAAACGATTTATCGCACTTGGACATTTTAATTTATACAATGTTTGGATCTACTCCCACTGAATAGGTTTCTAACGAACATTTAATCAATCTAGCGACTTGAAATATTGGAATAATGTACTATTAAATGTTTTGCCGAATAGTTCACATCAGTCACAATTGTATAGAATTTATTTTGAATAATGCATTAATCTTCATTAGGGTTTTATGGAAAGATACGTGTTGATGCGGTAGTAGTAATCTAATATACTTTCAGTCTTCGTAATATTATATACAGGGGGGCCAAAAAAAAGTCATTTTGCCTCCATGACTTTTCAAGGCGCTATAAGTTACACTTTATTAAATTTTTATCGGACATTTTTACTTATCCGATATGTAAACAGAGCAACATAAATACTATATGTAATGTTCACGCCAGCAGCTCTTCTGGAGGAGCGGAAAACATCAAGAGATTCCGGCCGCGCGAAAGAAGTGAGTGGTGCTGCGGATGTCTGAGCCGATAAATCGTTGATCATCTCCGCCACTGTAGACACCCTGTTTGAGCTCGCCCGAACTAGGTAATTGAGTGGGTTCAGGTCAGGGGACATATTTCAATATTACATCTTCATCAGGTACGAAACGCCCTTCCATTCGAAGTAGGCGGGAGTTTTTCCAAAACCCTTCGATTCCATGTGGTGGCACCCAAACCTGTAGCAGCACAAGGTCTCCAAGAAGGTACGGGCGACCACATGTGGGGAGGATATCCTTCTCGAGTTACTTGATGTAACTGCCAGCGCTCACCTTCAGTCGGGGTCTACAAAGAAAATATCGGTCTTCCCATTCCAGGTACGGCCGGTCCACACCATCAACCCGCGCCTTGGTGAATGGGGTGAAGATGATGTCCTGGACCGTAGCGACGTTGCCGGAGCTGCTCGATGTTTGAGGTCTTGCAGATCAAGAGTACTGGTCTCCAGGTAGCTATCCATGGGTGATTCCATTCAAGAAGTTCCGCAGCTGTTTGGAGGCCACGTGAATTTCAAAGGCGTTCTCCACTCAGGCCGCGACTGGAGATGACTTCATATTTTGGTGTACATGAAGGTGAATGGCGGCAGCCGGCTCCTGCTTATAGAGGAAGATCTTGGGTATCTTCCGCCCTGGTACTCATATCCACTTCCTCTGTCTGGGCTGCGAAAACTTCGCTCATATGTGACTCGGCCGGAATGACTTTTTTTTGCCCCCCCCCTGTATATACAAACTCAGTGTATTCCCAATGTGGTGGAGCAGTTTGGTGCAATAGTACGTGCACATTGCGGTGGTATCAATTTTGAAGAAGAAATAGCTTTCGGTCACGAGCTAATGAATATCGGTTCTGTCCACGCTAACTTTTTGGACCCTTCCTCTAGACTTTGGACGGGATTTAGTGTTGCATTGCGTGAGAAAGTGCAAGTAAGCGAATGAGGATTTCAGGGTTGATAGGGGAACGGGGCCTGGGGTGGGTAAACTAATCTCTTCGCGGAAAAAGTGTTTTCGCATTGCCTTGTTCTGACAAGTGAATTTACTTTTCGTAGGCGTTGACAATAGAGCATGTTTGTCCCAGTTTCGCGGAACATTCCGCGATACCTGACAGGTGGGATCCTTCCCTTTCACGAAAAGTCTGATCGCAGTGCAGTATAAAAGATTATCCCGTCCGCCGCTCCAAATTTAAGCGGCGAGGGCGCTGCGGCCGTCATGGATCGAAGGAGTGCCACCCACAGAAGGTGCCCCACCCATCGGGGACAAGATTTGAGAGCTTTGTTTGACCGACTTTTGTGGTCATCTCTTAGTTCGCCTTCCTGTTCTCTCTTCCTTTATGTTTGGTACCTCGAACACTCAGCAGTATCTCGCTTTTCGAATACTCGTCCAATCCCGGGGCATTATTCAGGAAGGCCTTTGACGATTATGTTCACTTCTTTCTCCAGTGGTAAGTTGCTAGCATCCACACGGGTTCGGATTTGGACCCACAGCCCATGAATTGTAAAGGCGGAATGTGTCTATAAAAGCAATGGCGCTAGGCCGTGTCAAGGGGGGGGGGTGAGTCTCGAGCAGCAGCAGGTACTTTCCCACCAATTATGATTGCCGGCCAACTTCCACAATTCGTGGAGAAAAGACTGGCTCCGCGTCACAACTCTCCCCCTCCCTCTGACACTCCCCGTCATTCGCAACGACCAAGCAGTATTTCCTCTGTATTTATAATACATCGCGCATTGGATCTGTTTAAGCGCGGATAGGCTGGATTTCCACTTCTACCAGAAGTACAAGTAAAAAGCCCTTCGAAAGTAGCGCTCTTTGAGAAATCTGTTCCTCACAAGTTGGTACTTGATGTTATCATGAGGAATGTTGACCAATCTCCTCAGCTGTTGTTGTTGTTCAAAAAGGATCTACGCCATCGCGTCACTTTTGGAAGATCTCACGTTGGCAGCACTTGACACCGACATAAACACCTTCTGAGCGCACCACCCGTCTGTGATAAAGTACCTGTGGCAACACATCCAAAGAAGATGTTGATGAAGATTGAGAAGATGACGAAGACCGAGAAAAAGATCAAGATGGAGATGGACAGCAAGAGGAAGAGAATGATGATTAGGATCTATTGAAATACAGCCTGAGGTGCGCCATACAATGTGAAAAAAAAACTCGGAGGAAACTCAGCAAAGATG